ATCTAAAAATATCTTAAGAGAAAAATATATAAAAAAAATTTAATTTTTATTGGTGTCTGTTTCTAAAGTTTTGATTAATCATCTTTGAGTATATAAAAAAATTAAGAGACATTATAAATATTGTCTAGGTTTTTATCAAAATTTTCTTATTTGTCAAACAAAAATTTTTTTTATCAAATTTAAACTAATTTTTAATACTTTAAAATTGACTTTATTTTTAAACCAAAAATAGAAAATTGTTGTATTAATAAATACTCTTACAAAATAATCTTGAAAAATATAATTTCATATAAATCAGACTTATCAGAACCAAAATAATTAGTACAAAAATAAAACTATATTCTAAATTTCTAATATATTTTAAAACTGTTTTCATTTTCTAATACATATTAAAACAATTCAAACAAAGTTTTGGTTTTTGGTTAAAAACTGAATAAATCAAAAACTAAAAGTTAGCAAATCGAACCAATAAAACATAGTAGATAATGTTTTATAATGGAAATTATTTTAAGCTTTTAACTAAGTGAAAAATCGAGAAAACCGAACTCGTATCCAGATTGAACGCCCTTAGATTTGAAGACTAATAGAAATAACGGGTTCAGAAAACAAGATTTACCCAAAACATGTTACAAGATGTCAATCGACTTGGACCGTTATACAACAAAATAGAGTCATGGATATAACGTGATAATAAAATTAGAGTACATGGGTTGTAACGTGAGGTTTTAAAGACTTGGGTACTCATTTTGTAAAACAATTTTGGACTTTATCCCGACGACACGTCAATTAATCATAAGCATTTTCAAAATGAAGACGCTAGGATAATGCTAATGTGCGCCTACGGCATTGTCAACCAATCAGAGCAAGCCACGTCTTATTGTATTTTACTTAAAAATAAAAATAAAATCTCAACGGTTGGATAATAACTGAACCTAAACCGGGAATAACCGTGGAAGCTTATTTTCTCCTAACGTGGCTCAAGATTTTAAGGTGCTATGTGAATGTGGACCTTAAGAAAGATGTCAAAATAACAATTCTCAGCGCAAAATAAATAAATTTCAAGCATTGTTAACAATTTTATAAATTTAGCAGAAGACCAAAAACACGTTTATTTAGTTTCATTGCAGCGAACTAACGTTTGGGTAATTTTAAGGGTTACATTGTTGGCGATGCTTTAGCAAGTTGAACTGATATCATACGATTTGTTCATGTTATATGCTATTAGATTTACGTATATTGCCAATTGCAATACGTGATATTCTTTTATTGGTACAACGGAACCTGGTGGGTTTAAGTTTAATAAACAGACAGTGCACGTTTTTTTGTTGTTATTTAATTGCATTATCGGTCCAACGGTCGGTTTTTATGATTTGTGTAGTATTTATATATTTTCTCTACATTATCCTTTAAATTTGAACCAAAGCAACCCAATTGTAGGGACCATTACTTACATTTTCCTGAATCCTCCTCTTTCTATATATGCCAAAATTAGTTATTAGGTTACGTATTAGATTAACAAAAAAAGGACGTATTATAAATTATGATAGTTCTATATACTAGTTTTAGTTTAGGCATAAAACAAAGGACTTTTTTTTTATATAAAAACAAAGGACTTGGCATATAATACTTAGTTCTAACACTTTTTTTTTTCTTTTAGGTATCTTAAGTAACAGTTGATATATATATTCCACGGTGTAGCTTAGAAGCAAATCAAGGAAACAATCGACAAAATTCCAGTAATAAATCTCAGAAAAATAAAAAAACAAAGAGAGGAGACATGCTTGAAAATTAGTTTTAGTCCTATCAATACATATTCATTTTCTGGATAACCATGGTTTGAAGGCAAAATTTCATCCGGCATAAAATATATTTCCTATATATGAATTGAGAATCAATTTTAAAAAGTAATTTTTATTTTGTGAAATATTTACAATGGTGTCATTTTGCTGATGTGCTATCATCAAAATCATTTTCAGCAAATCTATAAAAATAGACATATGTTACTAGATTAATTACATGTCATGCCACTCACAGTAATTTGATTATACATTATTTTATATCAATTATTTATACATAATTTAGCTTTTAATAGTTTAAGATATTCTTTTCGCCAAAAAATATATCATATTAATTATTTATTTAAACATGATATTTATCTCTCTTTGTTTTTTGTTTAAACTTATTTTTGTGAATAAATAAATCATCATGTCATCAATATAATAAAGATATATAATTTTTTGTACATGTATTATAATTCAAGTTTTTTAAATAAACATAAATTACTCAAATGGTTGATAAATAAAAATATGTTTAAAAATTTAACATTGGAGATTAGTATGTGAATATCAACAGATGGCTCATATATCATTATCAAGAAACAAAAATTATATATAAAATTGTAAAAGTAGAAAGCTTGATTTAGTAGACATTCATATTTATAAGTATTTTTGGTTTAATATAGTTTTTAATAGCCGAAAAAATAGTTTTTAATAGAACAAAACCATATAAATTAACCAAATAATATAAATATTTAAACTTTATAAAAAAAGTTGAAAATATTATATCAAAAAGTCAAAATATAAAATAGTTATACATGTTAAAATAATATGCTATTATAAATATTTTAGTTTCATTAAAAAATTGAATATTATAAATTTTTAATTTATACAAATAAAATAACTTGGTCAAAAAGTTAAAATTTTAATTTTTTAAGATATTATATAATAACTTAATAAAAAAATTTATATTGAAAATATTTTCATTGGATCAAAATGCTAAGAGTCTATAATTTTGATTCAGCTATATATAATTTTAGATAATTTATTAAAATTATTAAAATTAAAAACATGTAATATGTTATATATAAGTTCTATGTATATTTAGTATTTTAAAATAAAATTTACAATAATTTGGTTTTCTTAAAGTTGATATTTTTATAGCTGCAGTGTTTAGAGGTTAACCTAAATATGAAATTGTATTTTTATAAAAACAATATTAAAATTAATTATAACAAGAAATTTTAATTTTTGTAATTTTAATAGTAAATTATTATATGATAACTTATTTGGAATTAACTAATAATTTAATCAAAATGTAACTATTAAATTTAATACATGATAACTACACAAGTAATTTATTCATAAATAAATTTACATTAAATTAATTAATCAAAATAATTTAATTACTTTATTCCAAATTTTAATATGTAAAAATAATAATTTATATTTATTTTAATATAATTTTGAGTTAATCAGGTATTTATTAAAAATCTTCATCAAAATGCAATAAATGTAAGTTAGTTTATGTTAACAATATATGCAAATTAGTTCATGACATAATTAATAATTTAATTTGGACCTAAGTAATAGTACTGATTACTAATCCATCAATTAAAATAATTTTATTCAGATATGTAAATCCAAATATTTTGATTATTAACTGTAATGACACTATTTTTTGATAAATCATAAATATTTGAAATTTATTTAGAGTACGAACATAATATATAAGATGGGAAAACTTATATTTTAACGTACATCAACATTTTATAGAAGCTAATTATAATAGATTTTATTTCTTATCTCATTTTCTATATAATCAATAATAGCAAAAATATATCTAAACTCTACCAGTATTCATTATATCTTAAATTTAATATTTTTTATTATGTATACATTATATTTCCAGCCTATAATTTATTATCTTTTTTAATTACTTATATGTAAAATAAATTCAAGTATGCTGTGTGTGAAAACCTTGCCGATGAGTTGGATGAGTATTGATGGTTGACTAACACTAATACACGGTTGTGATGTGTGTCATAAAATTAGTGCTAATAAAAATGGAAAATAGATGATTTCTAAGTTTTACTTAACAAATATTTTTTCTGATTTTATCACATATTTTTATTATATATAATACGTGTTAATTTTTACTAGGTAGTTTATACAGATTTCTAATTTACAGGATGTTTTCGAGTTTTATTTGATCTTCAAATTCTGTAGTACAATTCTTCATATTGATGTACAAAACATTATCCTATAATTATTTTACATATACTGAAATCATTACAAATACATACTGTATTTTATGAATAGACAGACTTCCAATCAATCCTCAATGATAATAATCAAAGGGTGGTGAAGAGCAATCTATGTTTTTATATGTAGTTTTATTAGTAAAAATTTATTATACTAGGTATATATTCGCGCTACGCTGCGGGATATATTTCTAGATTTTGTATATATTTTTAATATAATAAAATTATTTTTATAATATAAATGAGTATTATATTTATTTTTTATTAGCTTAAGGTTATGTATTTATATGTTTTCAATCTGAATAAACATTATATATCCTTCAATTTTTTTATTTTTCAAAATTATAATCTACTATCAAATTTGTTTAGCTAACTATCTATAAATGTATATGTAAGAATAAAACAATTTAAGTACATTTATGCTAGTGGAAAATGTAATTTGTTATCTATACTAAATTGCCACTTGATTCTCTTCTGAAATTATATAAAGCAAATTGTCATTTTAAAAAAAAACTGAGAAATCGCACTTTCCGACAAAACAAAAAAAAATTATTTCACCTATTCCCGCCAAAATCAAAAACATTCATTTTCTCGTCAAATCTGAAATTTCATTTGCTTCTCGAAAATCTTGGTGATTTATGATCGGTTGTTTATAGTTTCGGAGCTAGAGAGGATGAAGATGAAGGTTTATGATTCGGTTTCGGATTCTTGGGAGACGGTTAACGGACCGGAGTTGCCTGAGAAGATTTGTAAACCGTTTGCGGTTAACTGTTGTGGGAACAGAGTATATGTGGTTGGTCGGAATCTTCATCTCGCGGTTGGGAATATTTTGAGGTCGGAGAATAATAAGTTTGGCGTGAGGTGGGAGGTGGTTGAGTCGCCGGAGCGTTATGCGGATTTGGGACTTAGTATCTCAAGATTGAAACAAAAAAGTTGTTTTGTGGATAAAAAAGCTGAGGTGTCAAGCCATGATCGAGAGTCTATGAACCACCAACACCGTGGTTCGTCCCTTCATCAGCTTTTCTAGGGCTTCTTGGACCAGCTTCTCCGAGCTCGTGTCCAAAGCACTCATTGCCTCATCAAGGAGAAGCACTGAAGGATCCTTCAGAACCGCCCTCGCGATAGCCACTCTCTGTTTCTGACCACCTGATAACTGCACCCCCTGTTCACCCATGTGCGTCTGGTACCCTTGTTCCATCCTGCTTATGAACTCGTGCGTGTTCGCAGCTTTTGCTGCCTCGATGATCTCTTCTTTCCCGTACTTGATGTTCTCATATATGGTTGTTGAAAACAGAGCTGGTTCTTGCTGGACTAACGCTAACTTCTTGCGCAAGCTACGTAGGTTTAGGGTTTTTATGTCCTGCCCATCGATGCAGAGTTTTCCGTTGTTCGCAACGTAGAATCTCATAATCAGTCTGATCACCGTGCTCTTTCCTGAACCACTTGTTCCCATAACGGCAAGACTTTTACCAGCGGAAACTCGGAGATATAGGTTTTGGAAGATGGCAATTTCGGGTCTTGTAGGATATGCAAAGCTGACTTTTTTCAGCTCTATATCCCCCTTAATCTGAGTGACCAATCTTGAGTTAGGTTGGTCTGGAGGTATCTTAGTCTCTCTATGTAAAACCCTAAAAACTGACTTGAGTGCTTGCGTGCCCTTCACAATATCCGGGGTCAAAGTAAGTGTTTCCGCTACAGCGTAAACCGTGACGAGCAATATCATGAAGGATTTGATACTATCCGCAAAGTTTGTCTCCTTGCGCTCAATCAAAACCGAGATGTACCAAAGACCAAGAGCGTAGGAACAGTACGCTAGAAACTGAGACAAACCATATCCAAATCCAGAGATATGACCTCTGATAAATGCGTTCTTAGTGGGTTTTCTTAGCTCACAAGCAAACTGTTCCGATATCTGATTCTCAGCACCAAACGCAATGGCTTCACGCGCCACTGAAGTTGCTCTAGAGTAAGCCCTTGTGTAATCTCCTCCAAAGCCTTTTAGAAACAATTGTTGTAACAATTAACGTTTTTCAATAGTAAATCTTTTAGTCAAAAAGAAAGAAAGAAACAAAAGCATACTTCAAAATTAAATTTGATATTCCTCAAAATTTAACTACACCATTTAGGAGGAATTTATTTTCAGTATTCAGATATGTTAATTTTTTTCCTTTTCTGTCCTCCAAATTCATTCCTCTACAGTAACTATAGAACAAAATTAGTCCTCATCAAAATTGAATGAGGAACAAAAATTGAAACGGGTTCATCTCTTCTGAGTAATTTTTCATATCTATTTCTTAAAAATTCTTTATTCATTTCTTTCTATTTCAATTCATTTTTTTCTTTTTTTTTCATTATACTATTCCTTTTGATGGTCATCAGTCCAAGCTATAAGAGCACATCCAATGGTGAGATACTCTCTAAAGTATCTCATATACACAATATTAGCATTTTTAATGCAATTTATTTATAAAATTAATTTTTTCTTTGTAAAAATAAATTGAGCCAATAATAGAAAAACAAGTGTGAGAAATTTGAGAAACCTTGAGATACTCTTGTCTCTCTCTCTTCTCTTTTGGATTTTTTTATTAATACTTTATTGAGATACTCTCAATGAGATACCTTCATTGGAGATGCTCTAACATTTCAAGATCTTTTTAGTTTCAAGATTCAGAATAAGATTGAGAGAACTTTTGATTTTGCGTTACCTCGGTAAATGGAGCGGCAATGAGAAGAGGGAAACAAGCGGTTACCACAGCTGCGACACGCCAACTGTAGATAAATGCAAGTGCTAATGCTGTGACTGTAAGAGACAAGTTTTGGACTATCTTCGAGAGGCGATCCGCTAGAGCACTCCTCACTAAAGTTGCATCAGCAGCTAAGATTGAAGTGAGTGAGCCAGTGTTGTTCTCATCCAAATCAAACCACCCAATCTCATTCGTTAGAGCCGCTGCAGTAATTGTTGTAAAGATAAATCAATACAACAATAAACCATAAGTCTCTTCATGTGTTGACAACTCAGCTTTTTGTGTTATTAGAAGCTGACACATCAGCAAAATACTGAACCAATTAAAACATTTCATTAATACACTTCATCTCGATATTTTAACACATAGGCATATTTTTTTTTTTTATCATCAAAATTTTTCATTAATAAGACCCAATATGGACAATACATAAAAATTAAAGCCCAATATTATTATTTTAGGATAACTGCAAAATTAATCCTCATTATATCGATGACAAAAATTAAAACACACCATTTTTAATAATGTACCACGTGTTGTTTTATAATTTTTAAATTTTTAAAAAAAAATTTTTAAAAAGAACAAACTGAAGCTCATTGTATATTATCGACATATTCTTTCTCCTTTTCCATATCATCATCTTCTTCGTCCGTCTTCTTCAATTATTCTAGAAATTATCTAATTAACCTAACTAATTGATAACGTTTATTGGCAAACAAACCTAAAATTCTAATGAATCAATTAATATTGTTATCTCATCAAACTTACGATTTCACTTCTAAGATTTTAACTTTGTAGCAACTTTGTGGAGAAGAAAGATTTTTTAACCATGTATCTATTCAGGAGATATGGTGGTTCTCGAAAGAGTTTGAAAAAGATCTACAATCGCATTGTGATGATGAATTTTCTGAAAGTTGAAACTTTAAAGTGGTAAAGTTTTGTCCCTTATGCTAAAGACGGATGAGATATCCAATTACAGTAACACCAAATGTAGTTTAAGTTGTATTTAGGCTTGCGTTTAATATTTTAATGTTTTAGACCTTTGTATTTGGGTGTTACTCCTGTATCATATATGTCCTATGGCTTATTAATAAAACTATATCTAAATATAGTGTGAAGTTTGAAGGTTTGATATATACATATAAATGTGACTAATGCTTAGGTATGATAATTTTAATGTTTACATGTTTAAAGCAAAGATATGAGAAAAAGTAAAAAATCCAGAAAATTTTGTTTTTTAAATATTAAAATTAAATAATTCTTTATACTTTGACAAAGAGAGAGTGCACCAAATTTTAATTAATTATCAAAAGAATGAATATTTTTTAATCAAGTTATTGTATACTTATGAATGAATATTTGAAAGTGTATTAAATTTTTGAAAGCAAATATATTATGTTTAAAGGTATCAGAGATCTGATCGAAAAAGTTGTCAACCGCCTAAATCTCGACCAGTGACTATGATTCAATAGATGAAAACAACGCTGATATGATTTGGAGAATGGGAGGAATGGCGACATTGTGAAGCCATTTTCGTAGTTGCTAGACTTGTTTCTAGCATATGTGAGAGAAGAAGAACTGAAGAAAAATAAAGTTATAAGATCTAAGGTCAATTAAATATGAGCTTCAAACATTTGACATGGTTATTTGGTTTCTTTCGATATATTTTGTAGCTTTTTTAATTTCTAGAGCTAAGGTAGCGATCTGATCAATATATAAACTTAAGCTATAGTAAATATGTAAGCTAATGTGAATTGTTGTTTCATTTGTGGTTTTTTACTAAATATTTTTTTAATGGTAAAGGAATATTAATGTTAAAATAATTATTTTAGTTAGTGTAAGAAAAACATGCATTAAAAGTTTCATAATTAAAAATATGAATATAACCTGCAAGTAGAGAAATTTATGATCATAAATAAACTTATAATAGTAAAATGTGTTTTTTTAGTTTTGGTTGATAAATACGATTTCTCGATTTTACCAGAAAATATGATTTTACCAGTTTAGAAAAAAAATATACAATTTTTCAGATTTCGTTAGAAAAGCATAGTTTGTGGTTTTTTCGAAAAATATTTTTAGGTTTTTTATTATTTTTATATTTAAGAGTATTTGAGTCATTTGTCATTTTGAACTGAAACATCTCCATCAAAATGGTCAAATTTGGTTCATTCAGATAATTCTCATAAATTTATCTAAATCTTAAAAAATCATCTAGATAATTCATCTAAATATTTTTTAATTTTGCCACAAAACAAACAAAATTCTCATTTTTATTCAAATGAACTATAGATGGAGGAATAAATAGGACCTAAATCCAAAACTTATGCTAAATAAAAAATAAATATAATATTTATTTATACTGTAAGAAATAACTTTTTATTTTTAAAATATATAAAATCTAGATATTTACATGCGCTATGTTGCGGGATATTTTTCAAAATTTTGTATATATTTTTAATATAATAAAATCATTTTTATAATGTAAATGAATATTATATTTATTTTTTATTAGCTTAAGTTATGTATTTATATGTTTTAAATCTAAATAAATATTATATATTTTTTTATTTTTTAAAATTATAATTTGCTATTAAATTTAGTTAGCTAACTAATTATAAATATATATATAAGAATAAAACAATACATTTTTAGTACCTTCATGCTAATGGCAAATGTAATATATTTTCTCCAATAAATTGCCACATGATCCTCCTTTATAATTATATAAAGCAAAATGCCATTTAAAAAAAATTATTAATTAATATAATTATTTTAAATTATAAAATTTATTTATTTATCAAATATTTTATTATAACATATGTTTCTAAAACTATCAAACTATAATCAATAACATTCATATCAAAACAATTGCTATTGTTTTAGAACTAAATAGAAAATTATGTTTGAACTCTTAAAATATCGTTTTAGTTAAAGTTAAATAATTAAATTTTGGTTACTGTAAACATACTTTAACTTGGAAATTTAGCACATAGAAATTTCATCTTCTTACAACAATCGAAAAATCATATTTCTCGTCAAAATAAAAAAACTTCATTTTCCCATTAAACTGAGAAATCGGCTATTCCCGCCAAAATCAAAAAATTTATTTTCTCGTCAAACCTAAAACCTAAAATTTTATTTTCCCGCGAGAACCTGTGTTTTTCACCAAAGCCGAGAAATTACGTTTTTTCACAAAAACGAAAAAATTTCATCTTCCTGCAAAAACCAAAAAAAAAATTGTATTTTCCCGCCAAAATCGAAAAATTTATTTTTCCTGCGAAAACTGAGAAATCGTCTATTCCTGCCAAAAAAAATCATTTTCTTGTCTAGTCCAGAATCACGCTTTCCTACAAAAATAAATAAACTACAATTTCCCGCAAAAACCAAAAATTGTATTATCTTCCGTGAAATTATGTTTTCCCGCAAAAACTAAGAAATTATTATGTTTTTATCGGTTCAAATTTTTGGTGATGTGTGAGCTTCTTATAACATAAGGCTTTTTGCGTTGTTGTCATGGAAGCATAGTTGATGCCGAGCCTACACTTTTTCAATCATATACGTCTATGTCAAACAAACAGATAGCTAGATTTTTTTTATTTATTTATTTGTTGTTATTTATGGTTTAGATTTGGTTTTGGCAAAAAAAAGAAAATAATGATTTAATTTTTTTTATTTGTTTTTATTTATTATTTGGGTTTGGATTTGGTAAAAAATAAAATAATTTTTTTTATTTGCTGTTATTAGTTATTTTGCATGGGATTTGGTAAAAAATAAAACAAAAATTATTTGGGTTTTTAATGGATTTAAGTTTAAAAATTAAAATAAGTAGATGAGATGTATTAATAAATTGTTTTGATTGGTGATTATTTTTGCTGGTGTGTCATGTTTATAAAGCTTAAAAAAGTTGAGGTGTCAAGCCATGAAGAGACTTTATTTTCTCCTCAAACCTAAAACCTAAAATTTCGTTTTCCCGCGAGAACCTGTGTTTTTCCACTAAAGCCGAAAAATTACGTTTTTTCACAAAAACCAAAAAAATTCATCTTCCTGCAAAAACCAAAAAAAAATTATATTTTCCCGCCAAAATAAAAAGAAATTATTTTTCGTGCGAAAACTGATAAATCGTCTATTCCTGCCAAAAAAAAATCATTTTCTTGTCAAGCCAGAATCACACTTTCCTACAAAAACAAATAAACTACAATTTCCCTCGAAAACGAAAAATTGCATTATCTTCCGTGAAATTATGTTTTCCCGCAAAAACTAAGAAATTATTACGTTTTTATCGGTTCAAATTTTTGGTGATGTGTGAGCTTCTTATAACATAAGGCTTTTTGTGTTGTTGTCATGGAAGCATAGTTGATGTCGAGCCTACACTTTTTCAATCATATACGTCTATGTCAAACAAACAGATAGCTAGAATTTTTTTATTATTTATTTGTTGTTATTTATTATTTGGATTTGTTTTTGGCAAAAAAAAAGAAAACAATGATTTAATTTTTTTTATTTTTTTATTTATTATTTGGGTTTAGATTTGGTAAAAAAATAAAATAATATTTTTTTATTTGCTGTTATTAGTTATTTGGGCTTGGGTTTGGTAAAAAATAAAACAAAATTAATAAAAAAAATATTTAGGTTTTTAATGGGTTTAAGTTTAAAAATTAAAATAAGTAGATGAGATGTATTAATAAAATGTTTTGATTGGTGATTATTTTTGCTGATGTGTCATGTTTATAAAGCTTAAAAAAGCTGAGGTGTCAAGCCATGGAGAGTTAAAAAGTAAGAACGTGGCGATGTAGGTTAGAAAGTTATAAAAGTGGACAAACAAAAAAGTTGTCACTTGATGTGCCCTTTATAAAATTATAACATTTCGCTGCCATATAAATTTTGCAGATCATCGCCCTATTTTCCAAAAACTGAGGAAACTATTTTATAGCTCGCTGTGGTTAGCGGCCACACAAATTTTCCAGATCATTGCGCTCATCCACTAAATAATCTCATCAGGAAATTAGGTTTCTTTGAGTCCTCTGTGGTTGGCGTACCATCGTAGTTGGCATTTGTGGGGAAATCACCATCATCTACAAAAGAGATTCTTTTCTCCATCCTTGAAGTTCCCTCCCAAGATGTATTC